TTGAGTAAGCATACCCATACCCGTTTAACAATTAGAAAGAGGTTAGCCTGGGCACTGAAAGCTCCAAAGTTACCCTGCATGTGAGACATTCACATATTATATCTCACTTTCTATGACTGTATCACCTAGGAAAAGTCTACCTGACAGTACTCTGAATTCATAGATGCTAGGCCTTTTCTTAGCACCACCAACTTTAACTGAGCATATTAAAATTTCATTTTGGGGGGGCTGGAGAGATGACTCAGCAGTTAAGAGCACTGACTGTTCTTGTAGAGGACCCGGTCCTTTTCCCAGCACGCACATGGCGGCTACTAACCCTCCTTAACTCCAGTTCCAGGGGAATCTGAAACCCTCTTCTGATCTCCACAGCACTGCACAACACAGATGCACTTACACACATGCAGGCAATACATTCATACACATAAAATTAAAAAAAAATATATTTTTTAAATTTCATTTTGGAGACTGAAAAGATGGCTCAGCAATTAAGAGCACTGGCTGCTCTTGCAGAGGCCCCAGGTTCGGTTCCCAGCACCCCACATGGAGGCTAACAACCATCCGTGATCCAGGGGATCCGACACCCTCTTCTGTCCTCCAAGGGCACTGCATGACACAGGTGCATTTACAAACATGCAGGTATAAGACTCATACATATAAAATAAAAATAATAAATAAATTTAAAGTTTCCCTTTTGCCTTCTTAGCTCATTAATACACAAATGCATTCTGATACACAAGCAAAGGAATGAGAGAACAGAACAATAATAGCAAACTGGCAAATCACAGAATTAAAAAATCTGAGCTCCCTAAAGCCCTTTTTATTAGAGCTGTAAATCACTTCAGCAAAGTGGAACTTGGGGAGGTTTGCACACACCATGACTGCTCGAACCAAGCAACAGTACTGGAAACACCTCCAGATGCAACACCAGCAATGCCTGGATCGCCACCACAAGCAACACTTGCAGACACTGGTATGCCTTAGCTGTGGAGTTCACAACATTTCAGGTAATTATAGTTCTGAAAATAATCTACAGTGAAACAAAACAAGCTGAAAGTCCAATACACTTGGAGGAGACACTGATGTCCAACACCACAGTCACAAGCCCAGGGCCACCTCCCAACATGGGCAGCCTCACTGGACACCTGGGATCTGCAAACAGAGCCATGAAGACAGACAGATGCTGGTGAGGGGGTGGACCTTTCTCAAGACTTTTGATTCTGTTACTTTTCAATCTTCTCTTCCTCTTCAATTTCCCTCCCAAACATCCCTGCCTCCTCTGGATCAAGGACTCAGTCATCCACCTTTTGGTTCCTCTGAGTAACAAGTATCTATTACATTGTCCACATACTGGAAAGAGATCAAGGAACCAAAAGTAACTGTGTATGTTCAGGCCTTCAGCTAAATGGGCAGCCCTGCCGTGCAACCACTTTTAAAGCTGACACTGACAGCTATCTCTGAAAACACTGAAGGGCTTGCTGATGCCAAACAGGATGTCCCTAAGAGGAAGTTCACAGGCTGTGTATGTTATGTGGTGTCATAACAAGTGATTATGTGCCAAGACTCTTGGGCTGACGTTAACCACTAAAAGTCAACTTGGGAAATGTGGTGAGTTCATCTTCATGAATCCAGAGCTCTGAGGGAGCACAGTATTTAACACTGCCATTCATAAGCCTTTGGGGAGGAAAATCTGGATAAAATCGAAAATGTTCATAATGGTCTCCCTGCTCTAACTCTGAGCTATGACCTGAGTCACTATCCAAGCAAAGACAACAAAGTTCACCACTTACAGCTTATCTAGGACTCAAAACAAAGCAGATGTAAGATGAAGTCTGGCTCCGAGGCACACCCCTCATCTGTACTGTCAGGTCTACAAGGCAACACCTGGCCACATGACACAAAGAAGAGGGATGGGGGCAGAGAGAAGCAGAGAAGAGGAGAGGGTGAGACACAGCAGCACTAGGTATCCTGGGTAAACAGAACTTTAAAGCTTGCTCCTTGGTTTACTTCTTTACTCCCATATTTTATCCTGGCTCAATACGCTTCAATTTACTCCTCTAATTCTGAGTGTCTCAAATATTTGAAGGAAAAAAAGAAAAAAGAAAAATCTCATTAACAAAGAACTTTCCATTAAAGATTTGTGAAATGTACAAAAATGGCAATTTCAGAGCTGGAGAGGTGGCTCAATGGTTAAGTACACTGGTTGTTCTTGCAGAAGACCCAGGTTCGAATCCCAACACCCACATGGCAGCTAACAACTGTCCATAACTCCAGTTCCAGGGGATCTGACAGCCTCTTCTGTCCTCTGCGGACATTGCACAACATGGGTGCACTTACATGCAGGCAATACACGCATACACATAAAATAATAAATAATAGGGGCTGGAGAGATGGCTCAGTGGTTAAGAGCACTGACTGCTCTTGCAGAGGACCCAGGTTTGATTCCCAGCACCCACATGGCGGCTACGAACTGTCCTTAAATCCAGTTCCAGGAGAATCTGAAGCCCTCTTCTGACCTCTGCAGCACTGCACGACATGGGTGCAGTCACATACATGCAGGCCGTACACTCATACACATAAAATAAGAATAAATAAATATTAAAAAAAATAATAAAAATATTAAAAAATGGCAATTTCATAGAGAAGTCATGCAATCCCTGGCTCTCCTGTCATTCGTTTTACTCTAATAATAATCTCTATGTTCACAATACACTAAGGATTTCACACACAGCCTCGCTCAATTGTCATGACAGCTGAGCTAAGTGGAAGATTTCCACAGCAACCCAGTGTTGCAAGATCACACAGCTAGTGGGTAGTGGAGCACGAAGCTAATCCCCAAGCCTCACATTTAGCTGTGTCCTTCCTGTACTTAGTCTTGCACTTGGCATAACAGAAAAGGTCCTTTCTGCTCAGTACAGCTCAGGTTCTTCCACCTCACATCTCATGCCCTTGCTGCTTTGAAAGGTGACTTTTAAAATGGATCACCAGGACGGCTCAGCAGACTGACTGCCTGAAGCAAAAACCTGGCTCCAAGCCATGGGTCAGATGAAGGGTCGGGGAACCAGCAGTTAAAAGGACTGAGCATTGGCTCAGTATCCTGTTAAAATTAGAGACCAAATTCAAAGCACTGCTGACATGGAAAACTGGCCTGAGAACACACTACCATTTATCAACGGAGAGCAAGTTAGAATTTAAATCAAAGGGAATGCCTCCTCTTGATTTTTAGGGCAACTAGCTCACTCTGGTGGAGAGAAAACTCAACTACGCAGTCACCAGTTTCTTCTCGTGCCACTTCTCAAGACAGTGCTAAAATTGGGGAGACCAGCCCAGACCTCTAATGGTCTGTCTCAGGAAACTTCCTGAGAAGGTCTACTTGGCACGTAGTTAACCACCTTAACCGGGCTAGCAATGCATATGTGCAAACCTGTCAATGTGATGTGGGAATAGTTTCTTAAGTGCACATCAAAATTAAACCCAGAACATGTTAAAAACAACAGTGAACGTATCTAGGCCCCTAGAGCCAGCTATCTAGTTTCTGAAATTACAATGGCAATTATTCAATCTGGCAGAAATCACGTACACTCCAAGAAAACCACAAAAATATTTACTATGACATACATTTAATACCTACTATATAACAAGCACTATGCCAGGCACTGGACAGCAAGTAACCTCACTGCTTAGAAGGTAATTTGTTAAAAGCCATGGGTTGAAGACTGTAACTACTTCAGACTCAGTGTAAAAAAAGGCCACTGCACTACCTGTAACAGCCGAACCCCAACTGATCACCAGTAGTAAAGAACCCAAATGCCCCCAATCACGAGAGAAATATACAACAGGACAACGGGCAGCTGTATGTAAAAAGCCGCAGGCATCTACGCATGCAAAGAGGGAAGGTCCAAGACCTACGTGCAACCTAACACAGGCCGACACGCAGGCAGAGAACTTGTGTATACAAATTTATTCAAATACTTATATGTGGGTTTTGTATTTTTAAAACATCCCAGGCTAGGGCTATAGTTCACTGGTAAAGTGTATATTTGGCATACACAAGGCCCTGGGTTTAACAGCCAACACAAAAATACTTTAAAATACCCTCAAAATTGTTAACAGCGATTACCTTTACGAAGAGGAACTTGGGCAGGGAAAAGCTTATACTCCATTTAATATTTTTCGGAATATATGTTTTTGTGCACACATTCCTTTCACTTAAACACTGAAGTCTGAGTATGTAAATAAGAGCTAAATCAGCTTATGAGACAACTGAAGCTTTGGTTCTGATCTAACAGAAACAATCCAGCTCTAACACAGGGACTCTGCACCAAGCTCACATCCGGAGAAGGCAGTGAGAGCACAGGCTCCCGAGGAGGGACGTGGGATGTGCAGCTTCGGTAGACGGCACAGTTACTCTCATGGCTCATGAATGCCCGCTTAGCTCTCTCTGGGACAAACTGTCTATCCAAGCTCTACTATCTGTGATATGAGGACAGCTATTCTGGATTCTTCATAATGCAACCTGTGAACTGAGGATAGATTCAATTCATCTGAGAGAGAAGGAGAGGAACTGGGTCTCCTTTCCCAAAACTCAGTGTCCTCAGCTCAGGGCAATGTTCACAACTCTCAAGCAGATTATTCAAAAACTACAAACATCATGTGTGTCAGTATCTCTGAATTTGCTAAAAATGAACTAATTAAAAATTTTTAAAGGACCCCAATGATTTTAAAGTAAAATCTACTTCATGAGAATTTTCCAACAAAAATAAGTTGAATGATTCAGTAAAGTTTCAAGTCAAGGATGAAGATCTAGAACCTGTACTAGGCTTGCAAGCAGTGCACATCTTTCAAATACACTGGCCAGGAAAAGCAGACACATGAGGCAGAATGAGCTACCTGAATCATATTTTCACAATGCAAGGCAATTAAAATCAGACAATAATACAGTAGCTTGGAACAACCATGAGCATTTTAAATTCCACAAATGGACTTGATTTTGAGTTTCTTACCTGAAGTAGCATGATCCCCTTGCTCCTGACTTTGTCCCAAAGAGGCCATCATTTCCACATGCATGCCATTCCACCAAGGACTGTATCGCAAAATCTGCCCAACCGCTTCGTCGTCAAACAAGTCTGCTCTGAGCAAACAGGTAATGGGCCTATTACACCTGAATATACTGGCGCTTGCATTTTATAATCTTTTTTTAAAAAAAAATATTTTATGTATGCCTTAAGCACAGAGGGGATCCTACTGGGATGGAAGAAAGCCCTTCCAGAAGCAATACAGTTGTTAAATGAAAATCCCAGTGCCAGAGGTGGGTTGCCCTACTAAGAGTTGTTAGCCTGACGGGCCCTAGAGGTCCCCAAAACAACAAGGGCCATTGCCAGTAATGTTGGTTGTACACTGGAAGTGGACAGAAAAACTCTACTGCTAAAGACACTGCATGATGCGAGTAGAGGACAGGGAGAAATCAAGCTTGGACTAAGCTGGAAATTCCCTGCCACTGGATGGGTGGCTTTCATGGTGCCAAAAGGCAATATGCAGATGACTAGGGTAGAATTGTCCCTTATAATTCTGCTCAACTACAGAACCCACATGTTGCACTATCATCATACCAAACAAGATGTGCCTGCTGATGCAATAGTGGAGCATCTAATGTATGTACAACTAGCAAACTTTCGATTGGATATAATGCCTACTCCTAAGGGTGCAACACACATCTAGTACTGTAGACCAGATCAGCCCCCTGTGGCAGGGGAGAATATAGGTCCCAGTGGGAAGCCACTGCGATTGTTTTGTTGGATGTGGTGCACCTGCTAAAGTACCATCCAAGCATTTGTGTTTACACCCATAAGTCAAGTTATTATAGCAGCCACTGTTTAGATGTTCTTGCTTCTTGCTGTGTTTTTATAGTGGATGGAATCCCACTGAAATGGGCCAGCATGGAAAACAGATGATGCAAGGACCTGAAAGTTCAGTGCCTTGCCAGGAGGAAGGGGTGGAGTGTTATCTGGAAGTGTCCTCCAACCACTATGCAGGCAAGCTATAGTCACACCTCCTTCCCACTCTCATCAAGGAGTCGAAGGGGGAGTCTGTTACCCCTCCCACCCAATCAGTCAACCTTAGCTCCTTGTGGGGGAGGGGCTAAGGCTATATAAGCCAAGAACACAAGGAGGCACCTCTCTCACCATTTTGTGCCGCTGTAGGGAAGCCGCAGGATCTATGCTCGAGTGCGGACTTTCCAGCGCAGCCGTAAATGGGGGCGCCCACTCTTCTGTAAATAAACCCCTACCCTACGCTCTGTTACCAAGCCCAATAAACTAGTTAGGATTAAAAAAAAAAAAGAGAGAGCTAATGGAAACCATTATTCCACCAAAGTTGACCCCATGTAGGCAAACCCTCTGGTCTTTGCTTTTTTGGGGGGGGCGGGGAGGAGGGGCTCCTTGTGACCCCAGCTGGCCTAGAGCTCACTGAGTAGACAGCTGGCCTCGAACTCATAGAGATCTGCCAGGCTCTGCCTCCTAAGTGCTGGGACTGAGGATGTGTGCTACCACACCCAGCTTTAGTCTTTGATTTCTTATCCCCACTTTTCCACCCTTAAACTTCATTGTATATATATTTTTATGTAACTTGCTTCAAGTTATTTCTGGGAAAATGTGTTAAAAATTGTCTCTCTTTGGAATAATAAAATTATTCTTAAAAAAAATTTCTAAAAAATCCTTAAAAATGTTTATTTATTATTTTTATTTTTGGTGTACGAGGATATTGCCTGCATGTAAGTAAGTGCACCAATGTCATACAAGGCCTGCAAATGTCAGAAGAGGCATCACATTCCCTTAGAATTGTAGTTACATATGGTTGTTAGCTGCCATGTGGGTACTGGGAATTGAATCCAGGTCCTCTGCAAGAGCAGCCACTGCTCTTAATCGCTGAGCCATCTTTCCAGCTCCTTGTGTTTTATAATCTTAACTAATTACATTTACGCTAGAAATATAGATTACCATCAATTCAATACACAATTTGAGAAAAGACTGAGTGTTGTGTTTACTTCCTTTGTGGTTACTAATCACCACAAAGCTAAAAGCAAGCATCTGACTACAGGGAATTTGTGACATTTCCCATCTTTTTAAACAGAGAGTACACAGAAGGCCTGTCCTACACTGAGGTCTCACCCCAGACACTTCAGTGGCATTGAAGTGCATCAGAAACAGACTGGAACATAGAACCTGTGCTAGGCTTGCAAGTGGCACAAATTTCACCAGCAGTGCAATCAGGAAAGATTCCACAAACCTGGCAGTGAAGAAAAACAGATGAGCAGGAAATTCAAACTCTGTGTTTTCACCAGGACACTGACAGAGGACACATACACACTCATGTACACACACACTTAGACCTGTGCATGCACATACTCTCATACACTGAAACACTCTTACACACATATCTTTCAGCAAATACACTAATACTTTCTTCTAAGATGCCAGCAATTTTATTTAGCTATGCTAATCTTTAACAGTTCTTCTATTTTAAACCATTGAAAAAGATGAAAACAACCTTTGTAGACATCAGAAAAAAAATTTTTTTACAGTCTACTTTCTACTACAAAAATGAGAGCTTCATTCAAAATATACCACTCATTCTTAGATGGCATTTATTCAAAAATTAAGTGATCTTGCCTTCAAAGACGAAAATTGGTATTCTTGGGGAACGTATGACAAGGTGTAAATCTCGGTGAAAATTTCATTCATATTCCAATTGACAAGAAACTCAAGGAATTGGTTGCTTTGATAAACTGAGCTTTCTAGCTGACAGTTTTATGACCTTACATACTTTTTCTTTCATCTGAAAAACTGAAAAAATTTTAAAATTAGAAAGATCATAGGTACCTTACGGAGTTCCTGTTACATTGCAGGCACTGCACTAAGTGCTTTGCATCCATGAGTCCCTTAAACCCTTACAACACCACCATGGGAAGAGGACACTACTACAATTCTCATTTTATATGAGTTGAAATTGAGGACTAGAAAAATGACATACCTTGGCCAAGCTTAAAAACAAACAAACAAAAAACAACAACAACAAAAACCCCAGCATGCAGGCCCAGCAATATATGGCTCACAAGATGTGGGTGTTTACTGCCAATTCTGACAACCTAAGTTCAATCTCTGGAACCCAGAATATCCAGGACTATGGCTCAACAATGCAGGGAACAACAATGCTCTACATGGGATGGTGGCACTGAAGGCTCAAAGACAAGAAGAGAGGGAAAATGGCTTCATCTTGGAACAGGTTGATTCTGATGGCTCCATCCAGGACATACAAACACACAGCTATCCACCAGGCAGCTGGACACACCAGTAAGATACTCAAACAGGAGACAGAGTCATGAGCATTCAGACTAAGGAAGAGGAGAGAAACATGCAGGAAGCTCAAGGACAGGACAGCACGGACAGCACACAGGCAGGGGCAGAGGAGCCCACCCTGAGGGGGACTAAGGAGGGACCAAACCAGCTTGGTAGAATGGCATCCTGACCACCTCCATCCTACCCTGCCCCCTAAATGATTAACTGATGCTTTGAACAAAAATTCTCTGATACAGTTCCAATAATCTAAACAGTGATGGTTTATCCTCTTGTGCCCCCAGACTTTTTTTTTCTGGTCCTGGATTGAACCTCAGACCTCACACACAGTAGGCAAGTGCTCTATCACTGAGCTACATCCCTGCATCCCTAGCCCACTTTTTTGTTTTGTTTTGTTTTTAAGACAAGGTCTCCCTACAGCCTCAGCTGGCCTGGAACTTGCTATGTGACCAGGTTGGACTTGATCTCAGAGATCCACCAGCCTCTGCTTTCCCGATTGCTGGGATTGAAGGCATGGAACACCAAATCCTACCACGTTTTGAGACAGAATCTCACTAAGTTGCCTAGGTTGGCTTTCACCTCAATCTGTGGCCCAGACTGGCCTAGACCTTGTGATCCTCCTGCCTTTGTCTCCAGTATACTATTATTTCAGGCCTGCACCACCAGGCCCAGCTGATGGTTTAACTCTTCACACTGTCTATAAATTAAAATTTTCATTAGCATGATTTTTGGCTGACTAATGTTCTGTTTTCCAGAATAAATTATTTTTCATGTTTTTAAATGCCATTGCATTCACTAACTGTTCCCCACATTCAGGGAGATAAGACTATTCCCTACCCTGAGAGTTCCAGTTTAATCAGAACCATGGACACCAGTGTAGAAACTTATAACACAACATGGTAAAAGCAAGATGTACTACCACAGGGAAACACTGAGGAAGGCATCCTCACCCAGCCAAAGATGGAAGGCCCATGAAAGTAATGTCTGAGCACAGCCTCAAAGGGTAGGTCATCCATGAGACGAGGAGAAATAGCTAGTGAAGGGTGGCACATGAGCAGCAGAGGAAATTCGAGCCTTGGCTGTCACCTCAGAATAAAGCATGGGCAAGGAGCGGCAAAAGAGGTTGCAGAGGTAGCTGGTAGATGGCTCAGTGGTTAAAAGCACTGACCGCTCTTACAGAGGGTCTGGGTTCGATTCCCAGCACCTACATGGCAGCTAACAATCGTCTTTAACTCCAGTTCCAGGGGAACTAACGCCATCTTCTGGCCTCTGCAGGCAATGCATGACATGGGTGCACTTATACACACGCAAAACACTCATATGCATAAAATATAGTAATTTTCTAAAAAATTTAAAAATTGTTTAAAAAAAAACACAGAAGCTAGATGACTATAGCTCTTCATGCCCAGGACTTCACTGGGCTGCAGAACATACTAAAATGAAATAATCAAGCTGCATTACATCTAAATTTTATAACAGCAGATTTCAAAACAGTAATAACCCAAAAGCTGCTAAAATCACCACAGACTTTGTATAAATATCTCTTTATATAAAATCAGTTGGCCTCTGTTTGTTTTGCTTTGGCTAAAATAAAATTAATTTTTCTCAGGTCCCTTCAAAGCCTGACAACACCATTCTAAATGAAAGGAACATTCTGGAGCTGGCGAGGTGGTTCCATATGTAGAGGCACCTGCCGCTAAACCTGACAAGCTGAGTTGGATCTCTGGGATCTCCATGGTGGGAGAACTGACTCCTGCAAGTTATCCTCTGACCACCACACATGTACCATAACACATATACTCACATATATATATATATATATATTCACACATACTAAATAAAACAAGTTCCTGGATAAAGAAACACAGAAGAGAGGAAGGCAGACTGCTTAGACTACCACACTGCCCCTGCCAACTATAAGTTTCAGTTTACTCATCGTCTCAGGCCACACACAGGCTTGGTCTTCTAGGCAGTTCTAATTAAGCTCCGTCCTACTTGAAATCTGAGCCTTGAAAGCTCATTCTGTTTTCACGCTAGCCGTGAAACTTGCTGACAATGAAATTTCTACTTTAAATATTCAGCATGATTCTAAATGGGATTCTTCAAATTACTCTTCGGTGGACCTTTAAAACCACCATTGAAGAGACAAAGGTAATTAGAAATGGCAATCTAAATGGAGCTGCATCTCTCAGCCAGCCTCCATAGTGCAGCATGGCCTGTTCTAGCCCAGCTTCCCTCAGGATGTGCAGCAACTCAGCCATTCATCACCACATCACTCACTCCATTTGCACATCACAAGACACACTTCTGCCATTCCAATTAGTATCCCACTGGGTCACAGGAGAAAGAATGTTAATCACAAGAGCGAAGGCAGTTTAACTAAAATAGTGTACATAAAAAGGAGACACAGAGTGACAAACAGAGTCTTTGAAGGCCTGGCTAGGCCCTGTAATGGTGTGACCCTGGGAAAGTCCCTTTATCTTTTTTCCTCTCCTGTGGTGAAAACTGAATAAAATAATCCTATGAGAGGACTTTATAAGCTGAAAACACTACACAAAAGTAAGGGGAAGTGGTGATCACAATTGTAGAGGTAACAGTCCAGAGCTTGAGAAAAAAATAATAAATGAGGTCCACATCAACATACAAATTACACCCCTTCAGCGGCAGGGTGTGGTGGCACATTCCTTTAATCCCAGCATTGGAGAGGCAGAGGCAGGTGGATCTCTGTGAGTTCCAGGCCAGCTGGAGCTACAAGGTGACCCTGTCTCAAAAAGACCAAAAAAAAAAAACAAAAAAACAAAAAACAAACCACAAAGCACACCCATTCTCCACACACACTAGAAAAAAACAAACAAACAAACAAACAAATATGAAATAGCGCCACATACTGACCAACGAGAGACAGCACAATCTCTACTCTAATAAGCCTGATTACAGTCAAAGGCTAAAACAATCTAATACAGATGAGAAATATAGCAAAACCTAAATTAGATTCTATTTATACTCTATCACAAAGGGCAACTATTTGTTCATTCCAACCTGATCAGTTATTACAAGAGGCAGCCCATGAAAGCAGATTCTGGATCAACAAGACATACAGCACTTGGAGTCAGATTCTTATGGAAACAGACATTTTCATTCATATATACTAATAATCGCAACAAAAATTCTACTTAAAAAAAGACGAAATATTCTCATGAGTTTGTTGCTTCAAAGCCTGGTGAGGAACTCTGGAGTTTTTTAAGAGTTCCCCACTGCTAGTAAGATAAGAAGAAAGTTCACAAAGTCATAAGAGTACAGTAGGAACAGGTTAAGGGAAATTTCAGCAGGGTTAGCATCTTCACTAATTTTCAGGATCTGACACACACATGCCTTGTACAATTACAGACACTGAGCGCCTAGAGCAGTTGCTCAATTGGCAGACAAGCACAAGACCTGAATTCAATTCACATTCCCAATACCTATATAAAAAGCAAGGTCTGGCAACTTGTGTGTGTAACCCCAGTGACAGGAAGGTGGAGACTGGCAGATTCCTGGAGCCTAGCTGGTAAGCTTCAGGTTCAGTGAGAGACTCTGTCTCAGAAAATAAGGTGGTGATTGAGGAAGACACCCAACGTCAAGCTTTTGATTCCACGTACATGTACACACACACACACACGCACATGCACACGCACACACACATACATATACAAAGACACTGAAAACAACTCACATAAGTGCCGTGTAACTTATTTAACCCTCATAAAACTCAATACTCACAGATAATGATCTGGATCAAATTTGGCCAGCTCAGCAGCCAGGCGCTTCTGCCTCCGTTCAGCTGCAGGAGTGAAATCTGGATCCTTAATATCAATAACCTCACTCAGTTCATCCTAAAAAACACCAGAACAAGAATGAACACTATCTCCATTTTTTTAGCATTTAAAAATCAAATTTTGAGGCTGGAGAGATGGCTGAGCATTTAAGAGCACTAGCAGCTCTTGCAGAGGACCCGGGCTCAGTTGCCAGCACCCACATGGTGGCTAACAACAGCCTGTAACTCCAGTTCCAGGGGATCCGACACCATTTCTGACCCTTCCGTGGGCACTACACAACACAGGTGCACTTACATACATGCAAGCAATACACTCATACACATAAAGTAAAAATAATAAATAAATAAATTTAAATCAAATTTGGGGGGGCTAGAGAGATGGCTCAGCAGTTAGGAGCACTGGCTGCTCTTGCAGAAGATCCAGGTTCAGTTCCCAGCACCCATATGGCAGCTGACAACAGTCAGTAACTCCAGTTCCAGGGGATGTGACACCCTCTTCTGGCCTCCTTGAGTACTGCATGCACACGGTGCACTTACATACATACAGGCAAAATACTCATACACATAAAAAAAGGGGGGAGGCTGGAGAGATGGCTCCAGCCTCCCACATCTACTACCAACTCCAGCTGACAAGTACAGAAACCAGAAGGAACATACAGAACCTGAGTCAGAAAGAAATCAAGAGAAATAACTTGGAAGAATCTCAGGCAAACACTTAAGATCTGCAAATGGAACTTACAGCAGTTAAACTGAAACATTACACATAAGGAGAGCCAGACTGACAAGCAGACACTTCTGGTTCTGATTCAGCTGGCTAGTGGCAGTATGACCTTAGGCAAGTCCCTTCACCTCCTTTCCTCATAAAAAAAGCAATAAAACACTCACATGAGAGCACTTTAAAGTTGATGGTTATGATACAAGGTCCTAAAATGAAAGTAAGCTATGGAGAATTATTAGGCACAGCCTCCTTACACTACCAAAACTCACATCATCATCATAATTAATAATAATAATAATAATAATAATAAATTCTTGGGTCAGCAAGATGGGTAAAGATGCTTACCACCAAACCTGACAACCTGAGTTCATTTTCCAGGATGCATATAGTGAAAGGTGAGAACCAACACCCACAAGTTATTCTGACCTCCATCCGAGAACCATGCATGCGTGTGCATGCACCTGCACACACATGCACACACATACACACACAAAATAAAAATGTAATTAAAAAAATTTTTTTAAAAGCCAGGCATGCTGGCGCATACCTTTAATCCCAGCACTCGGGAGGCAGAGGCAGTCAGGTCTCTGTGAGTTCAAGGCCAGCTTCATCTACATAGTGAGTTCCAGGACAGCTGGGGCTACAGGGAGAGCCTGTCTCAAAAAGAGACCAAAAAAAAAAAAAAAAAAAGGGAAATTTAAATCCCTTTTTCTTATCATAGTGCATATAAGTTAAGTAACATCATATTCAAATACAAAGGAGTGATCAGAGGCCTTTTTGAAAGCCACTGGATCAGCTAAAATATGTGAATAGTCTGAAGTACAAACTATTCTAGGCAAAAGCCAGACTATTGGCTAGCTGCTCACAGAAAAATTTTTGGAGCTAGAGAAATGGCTCAGTGGTTAAGAGCACTGGTTGCTCTTGCAGAAGACCTACGCTCGGTTCCCAGTACCAACATGGCAGCTAACAACTATCCTAACTCCAGGTCCAGGGGAGTCTGACGCCCTCTTCTGACCTCCATGGGCACTGTAAGACACAGGTGTACTTACCTATATGCAGGCAATACACTCATACACATAAAATAAACATAATAAATAAAAAATTGCATTCCAAAGTTCCCTTGCAATTTAGTTTTTGGAAACTTGGGATGTATTTTCTTATAGAAATCCTAGTAAATAGTAGCTAGGTTTTCAGAGCAGGCTCAAATTTATGCAATTCATAGTAAATTGAAACACAACACTCATGATGCAAAGAGCTTAACAAGCATGCAGTGATGTTTCCATGGGAAAATACTTGCAGAGTCTCTAGAGCTCACCCTAGCAGAACATCTCCCCAGCAGTGTAACATGGATTCTTCCTCCCTCCCTCAATTTCCTCACCTACTGAGATCTGAAACTCTGGCCACAGGCTAGGGAAGCACACTGATGGAGGCCCAGAGAGAGGAGGCAGTACAATGGATCCACAGAGCTTGCCTCAGGTAAAAGACTACTATGGGGGCCACGTCCTGTCCTAGGACTTCACATCTACAGCATGATGCTGGGTCCCCTCAGCTCTTCTCATCATATCCACTTCTCCTTCTTTCGATGACTCTGATTAGACTAGGTCCCGCCCACAGACTCCATGTCAAGACCCTTTACTGAATCACATTTGCAAAGTACCTTTTGCCATGTAAGGTAGCACCTTCACATGGGGAAGATACACAGAACCTTTTTGGTGGGAGAGTGGAGAACACCATGTGGTACTATAGGTGGTTGTGGAGTTAAATAAGATGATACAAGCTGGAGTCACCCCCTTTCTTTCCTTCTAGCCTCAAGAAGTCCCTAACCCACACTTCCTCTTTCTTCCCAGAAGTGTCTGCTAAAGGATCTCAACCCCATCTCCAGTTTACCATGCAGCCTCACCACACCACAGCTTGCTATGTAAAATGAGTTTAGTAACAACTCTACCACAGCTAGGTACTGGGCTCTTTCTCTCCTTCCCTTTGCTGAAACAAGCTTCCACACCCTGGGTTACCAAACACAAATTAGCTACAGTACAGTTCTGAAGTCAGAAGTTCAAAATCAGCCTCACCGGACTCAAGGCAAGGTAGGCATCTGCCAGGTTCATGGGGAACCTGTTTCTTTGCTCTTTCTGCCTTTGAAACTATCTTCATGCCTTCACTTATAAGCTGGTGTCAGGAGACGAGCCCTCCCCAGCTCCTCTCCTCCTCTTTGTAGGGATTCTGTGACTGGGCCTACCTACAGAATCCATGTCAGTACCATCTTTAATCACAGCTGCAAAGCACTTTCCCCAAGTAATGCAACATCTTCACAGGCAGGGTAACCACAGGATGTCTTTTCTAAGGATGTCATTTAGCACCACAGGCTGTTATGAAGAGTAAATGAAATAATACAGTTAAGTATTAAACAAAGTAATACAAAGCTTAATATACTCACTAATGTCAGATTCCTGTCTGTGGGGTCTACTTGGTAGAAGTAGGTCATTGGGCAAAGGTCTTTGGGGTGTACTATACCTGCCTACTTCCTGTCTCACAGCCGGCCTCCTGGTCCTCTGCAATGTGAGGAGCCTCTGTCACATGCTCTCACCACCATGAACTGAGCTGCTCTGCTATGTTTCCCTTACCATGATGGGCTGAAACATGAACCAAAACAAATCTTCCCTCACTTAAACTGCTTCTATCAGGTATTGTGGTAAGGGCACTGGTGGGCTTAGATTCTACCAGCAAGACATGGCTGGAGGCCTTCCTCAGACAGAGCACTTGGCATGCACAAAGTCCTAGAGCCAATCCTCAGCACCTCAAAGGAAGAAAAAGTCTGAGGTATCAGTCAATGGAGGAAAAAGAGAAGAGGCTGAAAGGGTCCGCCACAGCAGGAGAAACACATTCCTTTCTCTTTACAACTGCTGCAGTCCCAGCTCTGAGCTACTTGAAGATGAGCACTGCCAGGAAAGGTCATGGAGGATTTAGCCAGCTTAAACCAGAGCTGATCTAGAGAGAGTGAACTGTGTAGTATCTCCTGGAGACAAAGGCCTCAGGTCCCTGAGGCCACCAGGGAAAGGCAAGAGCCAGCAAGCCTGGCATCCCACAGCTGCAATCGTCCCAAGAGCTGGCTGGGTTGGCGCCCAGAGACGCCAGGACTGGGGCTGTTGGTGGCCTGTTGTGCAGCCCTGACTCTGAGCTGCCAGGGCAGTTTTCCAAAGGTGCCCTGTGGCTGGCAGTGGGTTCAAAAAGGAAAGAAGGTGGCATGTGTGCATGGGAAGCAGGGGAATGAATGAAGGAGAATTTGCTTCAGCAAATACATTCTCATTTTCTCCACATCAGATAAAAGAAAGAAGTTTACAACTGAACCTGTTTAAAGGGAAACAGGATTATGTTTATTGTAAAGGGTTAAATTATTCAGTAAAGACAAGATTACCTGGATACTGGGAACACAATTTTTTTTAAACTTTTAAATTTCTATTATACCTTTTACAATGAATCAAAGAAAATAAAAGTATTTTTAAGGAGTGGGGAAAAGTATTCGTAAAACATGAGTAGTAAACAAAATGTTAAGAATATTTCTAGATCCAAAGGCAGGAACTAGAGAACTAAATTGTGAGAAAACATATTTTAAAAAAGTGGTATGTTTAAAACTATAGTATGAGAAGACATATTTTAAATCCTGTTTGTGTGATAATTTGGGGTAGTATTTTCTAGCTTCCTTACTAATAGAAGAGTCTTACTGTTAATCCTATATGATCACTCAGGTTTCAACCACTTGACGTGACTGTCACAAATAACAATTGCAAACACAGAATGCTGCAAGTAACAGCAATTATATAAAATTCTGATAAAATATTCCTATAATTTCTAAAAGCCTGGTCAATTCTTAAATGTCACAAAGTTCACCATATTCCTCAAATTTAATTTCTAACAGAATTCAGTTGTTTTGCCACGTTTATCTCCTGGTAAAATGTGCACATACCATAGTACACCATGAGCAACGGCAGTGTTGGGTGAGTCAGCATAGCGCCCAGCACAGTGCCACCCAAGTCCCCTGACTGGCTTCAGACTTTAGACTCTTTCCAAAGTTAGAACATATTTTATTTATTTAACCGTATTTTATTTATTTAACTCCCTCCAAGAAGTCTAGGGGAGGACTCTGTAACTACATCACTATTTCTACAGCAAAAATTCTGAATACATACATTACGAAGGTTTTTTAACATAGCTAGCTATTAAAAAAAACATACTGGGAGCCAGGACATCAGTGGTTTGTAAAAGCATTCGCCATGCAAGACTGAAGAACTGAGTCTGATCCTCAAAACCCATGGAGGAAGGTGAGAACTGACTCCTGGAAGTTGTCCTCTGACTTCCACACACATACCCTGGCACAAGCATACCCATACTCACATGCAAACATCACACACACACACACACACACACACACACACACACACACACATACACACACACACATACAAATAACAATTAATTTACTAAAAAGTAAAATAATTTGAGCCAGGCATGGTAGCACATGCCTTTAGTCCCACAACTCAGGAGGCAGAGGCAGGCGGATTTCTGTGAGTTCAAGGCCAGCCTGGTCTACATAGTGAGTTCCAGGCCAGCTGGGGCTACAGGGAGACACTGTCTCAAAAAGATCAAAAAAATAAAGTAATTTAAAACATTTTGGGAGCCACAAGGGTGGCACATGCTTTTAATCCCAGAACTTGGGAGGCAGAGACAAGCGGATCTCTGTGCATTCAAGGCCAGTGTGGACTACATAGAGTTCCACCCTAGCCAGAACTACATAATGAGACCATGTCTCAGAAAGAAAAACAACAAAAAAACCATATTGGGAGAGGTGGGTATGGTGGCTCACTCATGTAATCCCAGCACTTGGGACACCAAAACAGAAGGATGACCAGTCTGACTTAAGTCAGTTCAAGGCTAGCCTGAGTTACAGAGCAAATTCCAGACCAGCCCAGACTATAGAGAGAAAACCTGTCTCAAAACAAGAAAAACAACAACAACAAAAACTTATTTTATATAAGGTTTTGGTGCCAACTTAAATATATTTGGAAAGTTGCTCTTTTCAGAACAGGTGTGATGAGTCCTGACTGCTAGCAGTCCACTACTCACATCGAAACCCTCCACATTCACCTGCTTTTGCAGCTTTTTCTTTCTAAATTGAGGGAATCAGGCCTCATTTTTTTAAGCCAGCAATGTTCACACATTTAAATTATGAAGAAGGGTTTAATGATTTCAAATAGTGAAACTCAATAAGCATTTCTATTTGGTTCATTTCTGATAGGGAGAATATAATCATAAAGCTACATGATGCTTCATTTTCTAAGCTGAGTGACAGGTATTTGGGCATTTGATACTTAGTTACACCATCAGAAGGATATAGAGAATCACTACATACATATATCATGCTACCCCAAGAGTATATATAACTTTTATGTTTTCAAGTACCGGTTAAAACATAAGCTTATTTCTTAAAAGAGTATTTCATAACAAGTCAGGTGTAGTATCACATAGCTGTAATCCCAGGACTTGAGAGGTAGAGGCAGGAGGATCAGGAGCTCAAGGCCAGCCTCAGCTACACAGTGAGTTCAAGGACAGCCTGGGATACATGACACCCTGTGTCAAAAAACAAAGTATTTCACAATAAGGTTTTTTTAAAAAGCAACCTGAATTCCTCAAAAGCTTTTCAATAGATACAAGAACTTCTGACCTAAGAGGGACTTGGCCTCACCTGAACTGAATGCCTTCTCGCATTCTCTAGGCAAGGAGAAATCCTTCAAAGAGGCCACCTGGCAAAGCAGGCACTTGTAAGCTGAATGGAGATCCTGTATTTCATCTGCGTGACACTTACTATCCTTCGTTTATAGTTCTGGCTGTCCAGCCTCAGACCACAAACCAGCTCTTGGCCAAACAACTGAAGCTCATTCACTGTAGTCCTGCTACAGACAAAGCTGACTCTGTTCTAAGTACCTCAGAGATCACCAGGGAATAGGAACAGGAGCAGGCAGAGGGAATACAAGCAGACCACAGCCAGCAGAAAAACGCCTGAGCTTTTGAACGAATCTGTTCCTCGGCGTTACTTACTCTTTAGTAAATCCCAATTCTTTTTTTCTTTTGCAGGAATCACGAGAGTAATTTCAGTATTTCAAGGGCAGGAGTCTTTATAGTGTTCTAACTTTTCAGTTTTCACATGAGATATCTACTTAGATTTTCAGAACAGCCTTACAGAGAAGGTAGGCACATTCATTCCCATTTTGCCAAGAGAAGATAACTTATGTGTGGTCAAAGGATGATCACAGTATCCCAAATGTCAACGGAGGCAGAAGTGGAACTAGAATGCAGGTTCTTTCCCTTTTCTTGATGGACTCAAAGACATCTTATAATCCTGAGCATTTCTCATTGGAAAATCTAAAATCCAAAATACTCCAAACCCTGAAACTTCCTAAGCAGCACTCAAATGGGAGTTTACATCTGTCCTCCACCAAGAAAAAAATAGACGTACACCAAGAATTGAACAATTTGATCAAAATACACAATTGCATAATCTAAAGGAGGGTGCATTTGTCAAACCAGGAGAAGCTGGGGCTAGGAGATCACAAGTTCAAGGAAATGCTGACCTCTGTACAGAGTCAGACCTCCAATCAAAAAATAAAAATAGGGGCTGGAGAGATGGCTCAGTGGTTAAGAACACTGACTGCTCTTGCAGAAGACCCAGGTGTGAATCCCAGCACCCACAAGGCAACTAACAACTGTCTGTAACTCCAGTTCCAGGGGATCCGACAACCTCTTTTGTCCTCCATGGGCACTGCAAGACATGGGTGCACTTACCTACATACAAGCAATACAAGCATACACTTAAAAATAAAAATAAATAAAAATAAAAACAAGCAAAACAAAACCCAAAACCCTCACAACCTCATTCTCGTCAGGAAATGCTGTCTCATTTCCATGTCAGACAAAAGCCAAGTCATGCCAAAGTAGGTATGCTCCATCTCAGAGGTATGAAGCTTTCCAGGAAGCAGAAGAGAGGAGTTCTGTTCTGTATTTTGGAAACTTCCTATCTAGAACGCTGAACGACAGCAGGAAGACATCTGTAGAGCAGCAAGACTGGACAGAACGCCAAGGACATGCAGGGACTGATAGGTGTGTCAGCATTATGTGCAAGGAGCTGCGTGGCTCTTGTTATGTCACCTCCTGCTGTCTTCATTTACAAAAGTCCAGTGAGAAGACCCTGTACCCCACACTCTTCCAGAAGGACAGCATACCTGCAACCGCTGAACCACTCCTGACCGTAGGTTTCCAAATCCATAGTGGTACTGAGAATTCAGAGCACTTTCTGAGATCTCTTTGTAGGGAGTCTGTTCAATTTCCCAGTCAAACTCCTCATCCTCTTCTTCGACTCCCTCTTCAGAAACCCCAGAGGCACCTAAATGGGTTACATATTAATTTTTTGTGTAATGTATTGGGTTTCCTAGGTACACTAAGAGGAAGAAAAAGCATTCGGGAAAAATGTGTGCATATATGCACCAAAGGTCAGATATTCACAGCTCGACTACTCAGGGTGGCTGAAGAATGGAACCAACTCAAATGCTCAATATCAGGTGGACAGGTAAGTAAATGTGGTGCATTCATAAAACAGACTGCATACAGTAGTGAAGGCAGGTGGACCTCGGCTATAATACAGGCAAGCCACAAAGAAAGAACACACATTGAGAATTATATATGCAATTCAAAAACAGGCAAAGGGGAGGGCAATGGCGACCCTGAAGAGAGCAGAGGGCAAAGGAGCTAGGCAGAGACACAAGTGGGAGTCCAAGGTGTTGGCCATTAACCTTACAGTTCTTGACACAGAATGTGTTCATATCATGTCATGTGTTCAACACTGTCAGCTAAACACTTCTGACAAGACAGTTTTAGCTGGTCCAAAATTACAACTGGTCTACTGGTCTACTACTGATTATGTCTTTTCACTGTAACATCAAATAAGCTATTTTCACATGACCATCTACCTTGACACCTGAGATTTTTCCTTCAATTTTCTATCACCAAGTCTCTTTTCCCCTAGAAGCACACACTACTACAAATATTTCTATTTATCTTCAGTTCCTTCCAACCACAGCAAACATACCTATTTCTTCCACAAGTGGTTTGGCCGACCTGGATTTCCTTGGAGCCAGAAGAGCAGTTAACATGTTCAGGCCCTCAAAATGCTGGCCAGGAGTTTCCTTGGGCAATCGAATGGTAAAAATTCCTTAAGAAATAAATTGTTTTATGCTTAGATCAAAATATTCAAAGGCTTCATAAATAAATGAAAGAGAAATGCAAGTATTAGCAATATATAATTCTATGGGGGGGAAACTTTGTTAGCTATAAATCTGACAGAGTATTAATATCCAGAATATATGAAGAATTCAAAAACCAAAAATACTGTGGCTGGAAAAACAGGTCAGCTGATAGTTTTGTTAGATGGATGTGAGGCACCTGCTAAGGTTAAGGTATTATAGCAGCCACTGTTTAGATGTTCTTGCTTCTTGCTGTTTGTGTTTTTATAATAGATGGAATCCCACTGAAATGGGCTAACAGTCTATGAAAAACAGATGATACAGAGACCTGGAAAGTTCAGTGACTTGCGACAATGGGAGGAAGATCATCCCACACCTATCACCCACTCTAAGGCTCAGGGACTTTTGCAGAAGAGGTTGGCAGAAAGAATGTAAGCACTGGAGGAAGGGGTGGAGTATCATGGAAGTGTCCTCTGACCACTATATATAGAGCCTACAAGCTACAGTCACACCTCCTTCCCATGTCATCAAGGAGGGCAGAGTCAGCTATCCCTCTCACCAAATCAGACAACCTTAGCTGCATGTGGGGGAGGGGCTAAGGATATACAAGGTGAGAATGCCATGAGGCACCCCTCTCGCCATTTTGTGTGGCTGTCAGGAAGTCACAGGATATATATTTCAGTGTGGACTTTCCAGCGCAGCCATAAATGGGGGCAGGGGGAGGACACCCACTCTTCTGTAAATAACCCCCCACCCTATGCTCTGTTAGCAAGCCCAATAAACTTATTAGGATTAAAAAAAAAAAGGCAGAGATTGGTGGATCTCAGTGAGATCAAGGGCAGTCTCGACTATATAACAAGTTCTAGACCAGCTGTGGCTACAGGGAGATCCTATCTCAAAAAACAACAACAAAAAAAAATTAAATTTTAAATTTTAAAAAGCTATCACTTCTATAAGAAATTAATATTTTCTTTTTTAAATATTTTGTTTGTTTTTATTTTATGAGTATGTGTGTATTGCCTGCATATAGGTTAAGTGCACCCGTGTCGTGTGATGCCTGGCGGAGGACAGAAGAGGCTGTCAGATCCCCTGGAACTGGAGTTATAGACAGTTGTTAGCTGTCATGTGGGTGCTGGGATTTGAACCCAGGTCTTCTGCAAGAACAGTCAGTGTTCTTAACTGCTGAGCCATCTCTCCAGCCCCAGAGAATGAACCAACAGGGACTTAGAGAATGAATTTCTCTAAGTCATCAACCAACAGGGACTTAGAGAATGAATTTCTGAACTAGAGGGAAACAAATCAGGGTATCTCATCCAACAGAGAAACACAACAGGTTTAAAACTACACAGTCTTAAATAAAGCAATTACAGTTTCCCAACAGTTTCCTTGCTGTCTCTGGAAACTATTTCCCTATAGTCTATCCAAATTCTATTTACATACTTTTTTTCTATGCATGGCTGGGTTTATCGACCTCATTTAGGGTCCCATACAAACTTACTACTGTACTTTGGCCTTTTCTTTTAATATAGTCTTGCTATGTAGCCATGGCTAGCCTCAAAATCACAACCAATGATGGTTGCCTTAGGCTTCTAAAAGTACCAGGATTACAGGTGTGTGCTACCACTTCCAGCTGCTGGTCTGAACATTTTACCTCTTTCAACACACTAACATCCATCCCAATATATCAAATACAACTCAGCCCAACACTCCCACACATCCAACCCCCCTAAACTCCAAGTACTTTTAAAGTTTAGTAACTTTATTGCCATATGCAAATCATCTGCAATTAAAGGTGGATCTGCCAGCTAGGATGGCTGTTTCCTTATACTTCATTATCATATTACACAGGATTATATGTGAGAATTTTATCATCTAACTTTCATTCCACTCTTCCTTCCCTAGCCTGATTCACTGAAATCAATAAACAATTACTGAATAAATTACAGAAAAGTATACAAGCTACTGTTTTAAATTTTCTTAAAAACATTAGTAGTAGAGTGGGGGAGGGGGCACAGATGCCATGGTGCATGTGTGGACATCAGAGGACAACTGTGGAGTCTGTTCTCTCCTTCTACCTTTACATGGGTTCTGGGGACAGAACTTGGATCACCAGGTTTTCATGGGAGGCCCCTTTACCCAGTAAGCCACCTTGCCAGTCCCACGAGCTATTCTTACTCCCAATCTAATGGCAAAGGTAACGCTCATAGCTTCTGGAAAAGTAAACTAAATGGTTTTGTGGCAAGCTAAAATGGGGACTTGTCAGTCATGAGATGAAAGTCCAATTAGTCTTTAAATTCCTTCCATCGATAGTTTCTCAGCTGCTTGTTATTAAAAGTTAGGTTTGAAAATTATACAAAAAGGATCCATCCAAAAGCTTAGAAATCATTCATATCTTTAAAAATCAATCATGTCAGGCTGGAGAGATGGCTCAGCAGTTAAGAGCACGGGTTGCTCTTGCAGAGGACCCAGGTTCTGTTCCCAACACCCACATGGCGGGATAACAACTCTCTATAACTCCAGTTCCAGGGAAATTCAATGTGCTCTTCTGACCTCCATGAGCACTGCATGACATGGGTGCACTTACATACGTGCAGGCAACACACTCATACATATAAAATAAATTTTAAAATAATAAATTAAAAAAAAAATCCATCAGCCAGTTGTAGAGGCACACACTTTTAATTCCAGCACTCAGGAGGCAGAGGCAGGCAGGTCTCTGTGAGTTCAAGGCCAGCCTGGTCTACATAGTGAGCTCCAGACCAGCTGAGCTATAGGGAGATCCTGTCTCAAAACAATAGACCCCCCCCCCGCAAAAAAATCGATCATGTCATGTTGATGTTTGCTTTTAAATGCCTGCTAAACATAGAAGCACTTCCAGAAAACAGAACTAGAGAATTCAAAAGAATTTACCTTAAAGATTATAGTAATTTGGGGCTGGAGAGATGGCTCAATGGTTAAGAGCACTAACTGCTCCTGCAGAGGACCCGGGTTCTATTCCCAGCACCCACATGGTGGCTATGATCCATCCTTAACTCCAGTTCCAGGGGAATCCAAAGCCCTCTTTTGACCTCCAAGGCATTGCACAACAAGGGTGCACTCACATACATGCAGGCAATACACTCATACACATAAAATAAAAATAAATACTTTTAAAAAAAGATTATAGTAACTCTCAAAAATTAATGAATATAAGGCACTAAACATTAAAGAATAATGGAGCATACAACAATTAATTACTAGGCATCTGAAAGTCTCCATAGTATCTTGAAACACTATTATGTAGACATTATAACATAAGAAATCCATGAAAAAACTGTCTAAGGTTGAGGGTATGGCTCAGTAGTTAAAGCACTTGCCTCACAAGGAACAAGGAGCTGAAGTTAATCCCAGAACCTAAATAAAAATCCCAGGTGTGGTGGTGCATGTTTATAATCCTGGAGCTGGGGAGACAAAGGCAGGAGGATTCCTGGGGCTCACTAGTAAGTCAGTTTAGCCTAACTGATGAGCTACAGGCCAGTGAGAAACAGAATGAGAGCAGATGCTGTCTTCCCACCTCTCTGCGCACATGTGCACACATGTACTACACACAATCCCCCCACTCATTAAAAAGAAAGAAGCCAGGCACAGGTGGTGCACACCCGTAATCCTAGCACTCAGGAGGCAGAAGCAGGAGGATCTCTGGAAGATTAAGGCCAGACTGGTCTATATAGCAAGTTCCAGATCAGTCAGTATTAGGCTGGGAGACCCTGCCTCAAAAATAGATGAAAGATGGACGAATGAATGGACAAACAGATGGACAGATAAATGATAAGGAAAAGGACAGACAGGTAGATGATAAAGAAAAGGAAGACTCACCCTCCCCCACCAATTCCTCAGGCCATACCTTTATCTGCATCATAGGACCCTTGTTCACTCCCATTTTCTACAATCCTTCCAGGAAGGGTTAATCTGTAGATTCAACGTAAGTAAACATCAGTAACAGTGTATTTTTATCCATCAAAAATCTACCAACAAATTTAATTCTTCAGCATTTCTTCCACACTTTACAAACTAAATAGATTCCTTCCCCCAGGAAGTAAAAATCAAGGATTCGATTTGATTCTATGTGAACTTGCCAATCACCAATAAAAAAAGACTAGAAGAAAACTCACAATAAACGTTATCAAATATATTGCTGTAATTTCTCTACGTTCTTATTGGTTGTTAATTTATTACTTATATTATTGTTCACTTATCATACTTGATTTATATATGACTACACAGTATGCAGTTATAGGAAAGATAGTAATATACAGGGCTCGGTACTATCTACCGTTGCAAGTATCTGCTGGGGGTCTTGGAAGGTATCCCCCGGATATGGGAAGACTAATGTGTATTCAAAGTAGGGGGCCAATTTGGGTATAAATTTCCTGCACCGTGGAGAAACCAGTTTGATTGCAAGGAAAGGCTTAGTAAAAAGGGGAAGGGCAAGGGATTAACAATAGTTTAGGAAAAATAGTGTGACAGGGTCCCCTAATAGTACTGTACTCAAGATTAAGTAAAACGACGCACATGGGGCCTTACGGGTGCCGCCTGCACAGCACACTGAAGGTGGCAGTGTTCGCTACCACTACTGTTTCAGCGAGGAGAAAACTAGACAGACAAGAGCTGGCCGCCTCACAGACTCCGGGAAACCACAAGTACAGGGCGAACCCACAGCGAGGCAACAGCCAGATGGGAGATGGCGAAGAGAGATCTGATGCCAAGGGGCCCAGGAAGGTGAGGACGGCATGAAGCAGGGGGCAGGCTGCCAAGAGGCCACAGGGAAGGCGCCCCGGGAAAAGTCAAGCGCAGCGGGAGAAGCGCGGATAACCCGCAGAAAAGCGGGACTGAAGCCCAGAGCGGCTCCCAAGGAGATGTCGGCGGATCCGGGCCGCACTCGCCTCAGAAAGTAGGGCTTGGCGAAGAACTTGAAGTCCACGCCCTCGAAGTACACGTCGAATTCCGCGGCGCGCGCGTGCGGCACGCGGATAGCGACCGTCAGGAAGTCGTGGTCCTGGCTCAGCTCAAATGCGGGGGTCAGCATTGCTACCCGCTACGCACCTCGCGGAATCCACTCTCCGGGCACTCAGAACCGCGCTTCCGGCCCGAGGCGGAAGTGAGGGCAGGGCGGATGTCCCGCCTCGGCGGGTCTCCGTGGAGACAGGACGCTTTGGATGACGGGTTTCTAACCAGCCCTAGTGAAAAGGATGCGGTGCGCGGATCTTTGGAAGAACTGGAACTTTAACTCGGGAATTTTGGAACGAATCGAGACTCACGAATCATCTGCGGAGATCCTTAGAAATGGTTAGTGGGGGTTTGGGTTTTTTGAAACTGGGTCTCCCTGTAACCCCAGCTGTCCTGAAACTCGCTAGGTAGACCAGGCTGGACTTGCTTTCACAGGGATCTACCTGCCTCTGCCTTGAGAGTGCTGGAATTAAAGGTGTTCGCCACCACGCCCGGCCTAGAAATGATTTTTTAAGATTTTTTTAATGTTTATGAGTGTTTTGCCTGCATGTATGTATGTGCATCATATATGTACCTAGTATCCACGGAGGCCCGAAGAGGGACTCGGATTCCCTAGAACTGGAGTTGCAGACTGTTGTGAGCCTTCATGTGGGTGCTGGGAACCGAACCCATGTCCTCAGCAACTGCTCTTAAGGCTCAGCCATCTCTTCAGAAACGATTTTAACCGCTTTGGCTTTGCAAGATCAACAAAATGCACTGCAATTCCTATTTGGCCGGTTCTCAATTGTAAGACTTTAGGAAAGCTACAAAGCCTCTCTATGCTTCAGAAACCTCCACTATAAAGAGGATGGTAATAGACGCTAAAGGATGCTGTGAGGACAGCACAAAGTCACCTTTGGAGAGCTCTAACAGCAAGTTGTGAATGATCAGCCTGCTAGAGCAGGCTCTGCGGTAGCCAGGGCAAAGTTCTGGCGATTTCCTCCACTTCTCACCTGCCATGCTAAGAGTTGGTCCTCCACCCCTCTTTCTCCCTCTCATCCCTTATTGAAATGGAATTTTCAAATTTGCAGACCATCTATCCTCTAATCTCACATAAAATAATAAATAAATAAATAAAATATTAAAAAATAATAAAATATTTTTAAACCACAAAACAATGAAAAGACCAAAGTATCAGTGGAAAGGGTTCAAAGTCATTTCCTAGGACAGTGAAGATAACCATTTATTTGCAAAGATCTTCTTAATATCTGGCTTTTTGTAATTCTAAGAAAGCAATCTTGAAATTTAGTTGGGACTCAGAAAAAATGCTAATAGGACCTAGCAGAGTTGGAGTTCTGCTACTCAACTGTATAGCAGAACTGCAGCAGCCCTGTTCTAACATCTCATTTTCCTTCCTGACATCTCTATAAAGAAGATATTATGTGCTCTGTTCACTTGCACAGGATCACACAGCTTGTCAGTGGTTCACTGGGAATTGGAATCCAGTTTAGTCTGATTCCTGGGTCCAAGCTCCAAACTAAAGAGTTGGTAGACTCTAATATTACCACCTACATCTTGGTTTCACACTCTGGGGCCAAGCCTGCCTGCTCTAGACCACACCAGGAGTAATAGACACTCCATTCTTACAATGAATTGATGCCAACCTGGAGTTAGAAAACCCCTTAAAAGGTCCCCTGAGATGGCTCAAGGCTACAGTATTTCAGTTTAGCTTCCCCAGAAAGAACCTTTACATTTGCCATGGGACCACATTGCTGTAGGTTACAAGCACTAATATTTTTAAATTATTAGTGCCCGAGAATTAAATGAAACAAGTTATGTTGTCCAAAAAAGAAATTCTAATTTAAAACACAAACTAGAGCCGTGACCTTCTTGTGTACTTTATTATATATTTGAAAACCACATACACACACACACACACACAGCATTGGAATACAGAAAAACAGACTGGATGGTCCAATGCTGCTGTTGATTATTAGAAATATATGCTATATCTGATGTATCTCAAAAATATAGTTACAATTATATAATGGGATTTTGTTGTTTTTGGGGGAGGAGTAGTTTTTGTCTTTGCAAACAATAACTCACTTTATTTTTATGTGTCAAATTAGTGCTAGTTACACAAATTATAAACTCATTCTCCTTTAAAAAGTGCAAAGTTCCCTGTGACTACTGCGCATCTTTGGTTCCCCCTTCCTTCAAAGGTAATCCTTCCAGCTGTGCTTGCAGGCCCTTTGATATTTCTGCAAACATTTCTACATACTCTGATTTTGTGTTTAGATCCACTTCATAATTTTTTATTGAGACAAGTATTCAACCTGTAATCTCTGATTACATTAGATTTGTCTCTCTTTGAGTCTAACAAATATAACCGTGAACCGTGTTTCAAAATTAAATGTTAAATGTAATAGTTTTTATAAAGGATTGTTTGTAGCTTCCTAATGGTGATATACCTCTTGTCTCCAGAAGGTGGCAACACCTGGATGATTAAGTGAAAGCTGTCTCAAAGAACACGGTTGTATCCTGAGTTCTAAGATTATGTTGTTCGTACCTTTAAATTCATTCTCTGAGACATTTTAGGGAGGTAATAGAATCTTACACAGAATTTTCAATGTTAAATACTGTTACTATTTGTATATTTGTTTGCTTTTATTTTAAAGATAGGGTCTCACATTGTAGCCAAGGCTGATTTAGAACTCACTGTGTAGCCTAGGCTAATCTCAAACTTACAACAATTTTCCATCTCACCCTTGAGAGGGATTACAGGCATAAGCCAACATACCCAGCAAGCACTTATTACTATTTTGATAGGCAACTTTTCAGACTTTTACTTTATTCAAAGAAGTATGGGATGATTTTAAAACAACAACAAAAATGGTACCATATTCTATATTTTACTTTTTTACTTAGCATTATGGTATTTGCATTTTGTTACATTTTGCTATGGTAACTGTACTGTTATTAGCATTAATACTGAAATGAAAAACAGAATTGAACAAGTGATGATTCATTTTAAGAGAAGAAAAATTAATGCTAGAATCATAAACACAGAACACAAACTTGATTAAGAATAGAATAGTTAGGGCTGCAGAGATGGCTCAGCGAGTAAGAGCACTGACTACTCTTGCAGAAGATTCATTTCGATTCCCAGCACCCACATGGTGGCTAACAACCATCCATAACTCCAGTTCCAGGGGGTCCGACACCCTCTTCTGACTTCCATAGGCATTGCATGACATAGGTACACTTACATACATGCAGGCAATATATGCATGAAAATAAAATAAAAATTAAAAATATTTTAAAATTTGAATAGTTAGGGACTAGAGAAATGGCTCAGCAGTTAGGAGCACATGCTGCTCTTTCAGAGGGCCTGAGTTTGATTCCCAGCACCTATGTCAGATGATTCACAACAGCCTGTAACTCCAGCACTGCACTCTTCATGCATACATACACATGCACATATACATGTAATTAAAAAATAACAAAAATATTTTTTAAAAAAGAATAGAATAGTTAAAATAAACTAGAGGGGCTGGAGAGGTGGTTCAGTGCTTAAGAACACTGGTTCAATGCTTGCTGCTGGGCTGGAGAGATGGCTTGGTGGTTAAGAACGCTGGTTGTTCTTTCAGAAGACCTGGGTTCAAATTCCAGCACCCTCATGGCAACTAACAACTGTCCATAACTCCAGTTCCAGGGGATCCAACAGTCTCTTCTGTCCTCCCTGGGCATTGTACAATATGAGTGCACTTACCTACATGCAGGCAATTCATGCGTATACATAAAATAAAAATAAATAAAATTAAAAAAAAAAACAGTGCTTGCTGCTCTTGCAGAAGACCTGGTTTTGGTTCCTAGACCAAAAGATGACTCATAACCACCCATAACTCCAGGTCCAGAGGATCAATGCCCTCTTCTGGCCTCTGTGAGCAATTGCACACATGTGATACATATATGTATACTCAAGAACACATACATACACATAAACTAAATCTTTAAAAAATATGAACTAGATTGTACTTTTTCTTTGTGGGTGGAGTGGGTTTTGGTTTTTGAGACGGGCTCACTCTGTAGCTCAGGCTTACCTCAAATTCATGGCAAACCTAACTCAGCCTTTGAGAGAATTGGGACTACAAACATGAGCCACCACACCCAGACTAGATTATACATTTTGAAGGATTTTTGGTTTTTTGTTTGTTTGGTGGTGGTGGTGGTAGTCTTTTTGAGACCAGGTCTCCCTGTAGCCCCAACTGGTCTGAACTCGCTTATACAGACCAGGCTGGCCTTGAACTCACAGAGATCCACCTGCCTCTGCCTTCCAAGTGCTGGGACTAAAGGTGTGTGCCACCATGCCTGGCTATACATTTTGAACTTTAAATTACATATATCCGTTTGTATAACAGTAGTAAATACAATAATATCCTGGGTTTTGCAATTTCCAAACTTTGGATAAAGTCAAGCTAGCCAAGAGATATGTATAGGTTGGTTAAAGAACCTTAAGGAGAGAGGCAAAGGGTACAGATACACATAACCATGATTGTGGCACTGTAGTATCTCCAGAAGTTTTCAAAACACTTTTTATTTATTTGAGTATCTCTGTGTTTGGTCCTTGCCCCAGTCCTTCAGCCATTTAAATTGCTATTCCCAAGCTTGTGGATGGGTGCAGACTTGTCATGGGGCTTCAGTGGGTGTTTACTTCAATTCTAATTTTAAAGGTCAGGAAAAAAGATAAAAAATGACCACAATTAACACCAGTCTAGTTTGCTGATAATGATTCTTTGCAGTGTACCTGAGGCCTGACCAACACACGTTTCAAGAGGCCAGGCAGTCCCACTCCATTCGATGAAAGACAGAATCCCTAACAATACTAACTAGGCAGCCATTTGAGCTTCTCCTGTTGCTTAATGTCATGTTTCTAAAACACATGTGCATGAAGTGCCACTGGGAGGCCCTGCCTAGATGTCCCTTAGGAACTGGGAGCCCATCTGACACTATGTAAAATGTATTACAAATGTAAATGACCTGCTGCTGGTCCTTTCTTCAAGGAATTTCCCAAGCCCAGAATTTCTCCACCTCAGTATTTGGGGCAGTGCATTACTTTCCTCATTTCCAAAAGCAGTTTATGGAAGGAAGCTTTGGTTTATTTTGACCCACAGTTCAAAGGTACAGTCCACAAAGAAAAGAAGGCATGACAGAAGGAGCATGAGGCAGCTGGTCCCATTGCATCCATATTGAAGAAGCAGAGAGAGACGAACACTGGTGATCAGCTCACTTCCTCTTTATACGCAGTCCAAGACTCCAGGCCATGAGTGGTACTGCTCTCATTTAGGATTTGT